CGGGCACGGCGGCTCTGCGCAGGCGCGGGCGGCTGCCTCACAGGGCTGCCGCTGTGCTCTGCTCTCCGTGCTGTCCTTACCGTGTGTAAATATCGTGCGCTATAGGGCAAATATTTGACAGTAGCTGTGGCAAAGGCGTCCCCGTAATTATTTACCTAATGCCTGCGCAGCTCTCCGGCTCTTGGCTGGGCCTGCAGGACCCAGACGCAATATTTAGACAGGGTATTTATGCTCGCCTCGAAAGCGTTGTGACAGGACTGCGCCGTAAGGTAAACAGTGAGCGCTGAAGAGGCTTCGTAAGCACCGGGCTGCTCACCCGCTGAACACATGCCCCGTGCTCTAGCTTAAATACTTAGAGGACTTTATCTTCAGTGTCAAGTAACACAAAGTTTATTTTAGTTAAAGCAGTTCAGTGCTGAATGCCTGGAAACGGAAAATGATTCCAGACAGGGCAAAAGTTCGGCTGTTTAAGCCAAAGTCCTTCTCAGAAAGTCCTCCTGTTGGTAACTGCAGCCCTCTGGGGGTGTCCTTGGACAAATACCTGACCCTCCTGCAGAGCTGCAAGGAAGGGGATCGGATCTCACTCCAGCACAGCAGCCTGCGGAGGTTCTCAGGTAGGCACGTTTGTTATAACCAACCCCACGGAACAGAGGAAGAAGCAGAAACGTGCGCTCTGCAAAGTCAAAAAGCAAAGGCAGAAAAGCAAGGGAAGACAGATTTGCATTTACGACTTGCACAGGAACAGTTATATATTGCTACCAGTGAGTGAGATGCAAGACCTCTCTGGGAACTAAAAGGGCCTTAATTTATGACTCATGTCACAAAGACACTTAATAATTCTCTTTGATATATTTTTTAATGTTTGGTGTTTTTCTTTTGGTAAACCCAGCAACATATGCCAGGGGTATATACATCTAAGTGTATATAATATCAATTTAAATCTAAATAGAGATATAAAATAGAGAGCATACATTTGCATTAGAGGGGGAAAAAAAGGTTCAATTTAAGCTGTGATTACAAAGTTTAGATTATTTTTGAACATTTCAGAATTGTTGGTATCCCATCTTCAGGATGACAAACGAAGAAGCAGACAAATGAGCCTAAATGAGGTAAACATATCTGGATTATTATTGTTAAAACATGCTATTTTTTTATTTATTATATTCAGTACTGTTTGTACAGATGTGTGAAACGTAGCAACTAGTTTAATATGTCCCTTTGGTAAACAAAGGCTTCCTGGGTAAAGCAATAATAAAAATGTTCTCTTACTTATAAACAAATGTTTGGAAAGTATCTACAACTGAAGTATCTCAAAATACCTTAGAGAAATCCGTAAAGTGACAAACACATCATTAGGCAGGGAAGGAGGATCTCCAGGCAGGAGGAAAGGGTAAATCACTGCTTATGTGATCTGTGAATGATACAAGTTGATGCCATAGCTAGGAATTAAAGGCAGATTTACTGTTTCACACTCCAGCACCATATTAGGAGCCACAACGTAAAATTAGGAGAGCTTTGTTACATTTCACATATCGCAAGTGAACTGGTTTTTCCTGGCGGAGCAAGAATTAGGCATACAGACAAACTCCGAAAGGATTCTCCAACTCCCTCTGAATCCTACCAGCCCCCTCTCTGTCTATAGAGAGCACCAAGCATGAATCCTGTTAGGGCAACCAGTCTCCACCTGCCTTTTTTTCTGGAATCCCTGGGATGCCTCAAGATGCTTCGCTGCAGAGCAGCGTATGGGCAGTGCCTTCTCACTGCTTTCAGGGTTTCCTCTTCATTCTCTGCCCATTTCCCACATGTGCAAAGGGAGAAAAAAAACGGCCGTGGTGTCGGTGCCAGGTGAGATGAAAGGGACCGGCAGCCGAGCTGCAGGCCCAGCAGTGCTGGAACGGGCTCCAGCAGCAGGCAGAAGGGCGCGTGTCCTCCCAGTGCCTGGAGCAGCGGGGCCGCCTGCGCCCCGGCCTGACCCCGCGCCAAGGGCACCGCAGCCAAGCCCTGGCACCCGGATCCTAATTTTCCGGTCAACAACTGCGAGGGACGGTCTTGGCTCAGGAGGAGTCACCCCTGGCCCCTTCCCGCCCGGCACTGCAGGGGTAGCTGGGTCGTATGGGCTTGCGGCACGTTTCTGTGCGCTATTAGGTTTGGGGAGCAGGCGAACAAAACGAGGAAAGCTATTTGGGGGTAAATCAGCAAGAGAGTGTAGCCAGGAGCAGGGCTTCACTGAGGCAGCCAGCAGTGTCTGCTGCACAACAGAAGGGGTAAATCAAGGACAGGCAAATGTGGCTGGACACTTTTATTTTTTTAAACAGCAGCGGTGCCAGCTTGTGATGCCAGCCAAGAAACTGAATCTATTACATAAAGCAATACTGGCAGGTCTGTAATTTAAGTCCAATTTACTCTACATCTGCACAGCTTTGGGGTTCTTAAATCCAGTCTGTTCCCAATGTGCATGTGTACGCAGCAGCAAAGAACCTGAGTAGGCCGAACCAGACTGCTAAAGCACCAGGTATGATCCTGACCATGCCCTGTGGGAGCTGCCTGATGGGGATATCCTCTGTTCAGGAGGCAAAAACACACGCCAGAGGTCACAGCTTTGGCACGAGCTAAGAACCCAGCACCATACAGCATTTGTGACCAAAGATAAAAGACACAAAGGAGCAGAAAGCAGCTTTCACTGCCCTTCTCAGTGACCCTTGCTTTGGCACAACACGGTTCCTGTCAGCTCTCACAGCACAGACCTCCACCTTCTCTGTGGGAAACGGCGTATCTGAAATCACCACTTAAAAGGGTTCCTTGGGATGACAACCCCTGAGCTCGGTAATGTGTAATAACAGAGGGAACACAGCACTGCTGTCCTTGCGGACAGCCTCACAGGAGCTGCAAGTCAGGCTGAAGAAACTGGAGAGAGTTACTGCAAGTTGATACTCCTAGTGAAGCCAAGCATGTGACACGGGTACTTAAAATAGTTACAGGCATTACATTCCCGAGGTTGGGAATTACTGTCTGCCTCAACCTTACCCTCGTGTCTCTCTAGGCAGCTCAGTGTGTATCTGCTTTTGTCCTCACTAGGTACGTGGAAGTACAGCTTTCTAGAAATGCAGAATAAGAGCTTAATGATTCCAAAAGAAGACTCTCAGTGTCTTCAAATGATTGGTTACTTAAGTCTCTGATATTTAAGACCATTTGAATGCTTTTAATTATGTCAAAAATCCAAACAATTGTTAAGAAAACTACTGCAAACTAAGCAATACAAAGCAAAAAGAGGTAGATAAATAGATCAAATGCACAGATATTCCTACAAACACATGGCCTTGACTTTACTTTCTCCGGGACAACCCTCAAAAAGACCTAATGTGAACAAGCAGCCTTCAGAATGGGAATGATTCATAGGCATTTTGCCTTGATGTACTTATCTCCCTCTTTGCAAATAGTTTATACATTTTCCCTTATCAGAAGTTTGTTAAAAGCGCTCAACAGAAATTGTCTCAAATTGCCTGTCACAACGGCTTGCATAGCTTGGTTATTCGGCGGTTGTACAATTAAACCATAAATGCAATTAAACAGTAAACAAACCTTATAAGCTTACATATTACACTGAATGTTTTGAACTGTTGTTAATGCGTTGCATGATTAAGCAATTCTGTAAGTGGACTTTGAAGTCAGGTTGTGAGGTTGGCCTCGGTGCTTTGCTTAAGCACTTGCCTACTGCTGCTAAAGAATAAGACAATGAAAAACTAGCTCTTTCGCTGCACTTCATCATAAAGGAGAGTTTCTAGTGTTTTGGACGTGGGCAGAATGAACTGTGCTCATATAGGAAGGGTGGTAAAGATGATGATACTAAAATACGGGCATAACATGTTAAGAGAAAAACTGCTGGGAAAAGATAACACCTTCCAAAATGACAGGCTGAAGCTGCCCAAGGGCAGTGGTGGCAGAACAGCTGAAAACACTCATATCTGCTAACACCCCCCCCAGGGCTTGTTTCAGGGCTCGCTGATCCTTCCTTCTGGAGCACCTCCAGCCCGTCCGTTTCCACAGTGAATCGCAGAGTCCCCAAGTGACCC